AGTAACCCATATAGGAAATAAGGATGAAGTAACTGAAGGAGGATATGAACCTTCTGACTGTAAACAGGACCAAAAAGAAGAGAAGGAAGAGACAGAAGAGGACAGGACAGAAGTGAAAGAGGACAAGGAAGTGCTGGATGCAGAGAAAAACCCAGAATAGAAGTAACAGGGTAATGGTCAACAATTTATTTTTTTTTTTGCCAATAAGCATTGATTTAGCAACCTAGAATTGTGAGAAGATTATTGCAGACAACAGTTGGATTACTGCAGTTTCTAACAAAAATTCAAGTGAACTCATTGAGAACAGACTCCAGTATAGATGAAGAGGGACAATGTCTGAATGCCAGAATTGAACCTCTTTTAGGTCTGTGGATTTATGGACTTAATATTGCTAAAGCAAATATTACACAAAGGGTTATATGTTATCAACACACTCTCATTTGTAACTCTTTTATGTTGGAGAATTGTTGGTGAATTTGTACAATCTAATTAGTATGTTTTTATACAATCTCCTTGCACCCCACTGCTGGTTAGGTGTAGTGGTGGACCCCTTTTAAAAAAAAATAGTACAAATCAAATTGTACAAATTTACCAACTGCAAAAAAACATTTAAGTTTTATCAAGAGATCAGGTGGGACCTTATAGCTAAAATGAAGCCATTATATCAAACCCTGAGTTTCTATTCAAACTCTGTAGGGTATGTCTGAGTAATTCATATGCCTCTATCTTGCTTGCTTTTGCTTTTAAATGAACTCATGTTGGATTCTTATTTGCTGTTCAGAGAACGAGAACGCTTTCACCTTTGGAGAGCATTCTCTATTTTAAAAGTTCCAACCTTCCTCCGATCTGAATATTTATGTGATTCAATTTACAACATGACAAATACCACTGAAATAGGTGTATTTTTATTAACTGTCAGTTAATTAAAAAATATCTGACATGCCTCTGTGACAGTCCCAGGCTCTGTAAACCGCAAAAGTTGGCTAGAAATGGTTCATAAACATTTCAGAAATGCTTTATCTGTCAGTCATTTTGAGTGTTTTAAGTTTGCTGACATTGAGTTTGCTGAGAAGCTTGTGGAGAGGTTGTTTGGTTAAAGTTGCAAAATCATGACTCACTAACTGCACTTTCTCTGATGGTTAATGAATGCATGCACAGTTTTTTAACATCTTGCAGAAAAATGATAAATAACAAGATAAATAATACAAAGAACTAGTGTCAGATATTGCGAAAGCCAAACTCACCAGCAGTCTCCACTGCTGCTATGCAAAGATACTTTAAAATGCCTGGAATGTATCACTGTGACTGCAAAGCTACTGTACTGCATCAATGACCTTTTACTTCCCATATAAGACTGAATAAAGAGCTTTATTTACACTTACCAGATGCTTTCCTTTATTATGTAGCTACAGTAACTAAGGGTTAATCATTTTTAATGGTTAATCTTGAACAATGATATCTGGTCTTTTCTCATTGCTTTCTTTGATCAACATTAAAGGGATAGATAAGTTGAAAATGAAAATCATCATTTACTCAACCGACTGACTTTTCCTCTGTGGAACTCGGAACGAGTTATTCTGCAGAATGCTAAAGCTGCTGACAATGAAAGTGAAAATATGCAAACCCCTTATTATGAATCAAGTTTCCATTAAAATATTATTACGTAGCCTATCGAAATGTCAATTATGATTGATCACGTGATCATGTAAAAACACAATGACTAACCCCACCCCTTAACACAACCGTCACAGTGACATGAGCAAACCAGGTAACAGTCGGAAATGCCCTCCGGTCTGGCCTCGCCCACTGATCCGGAAACTCCCATTGCTCCCATTCTGCAGAGACCAGGGGCCATGTGCATAAACTGCTTAGACTAGTCTTAAAAGTTTAGTCATCTAATTTGTTTCTGCAAGACTGGTCATCATTTTTTATAATCAGTCACACAAAAAAGTAGATTGGTCTAATTTAAATCTGAAAATTAAGGTTAATTACCACTTGATTAACTGCTAGTCAAACTAGCTTTTAAGACACAGTCTTAACATGATGATTATGTTAATGCAACTGGCCCCAGTACTTGTAATACTTCGGCACGACGTGTTGCCATGCTGTAACCTGTTTGAATTAGTTCGAATGAAGTTTGGCAGCTATGGAAGAGACAGAGTTATTATTGACTGTCCATTAATTTGTACTTAAATATCAGTCTGTTTCTTTCTTTCTTTCTTTTTGTTCTTAACACATATGGCGCTTGACAGCCTCAGTCCTCATTCCTCATTTTCTCTGTAATGCGAACCAGGGCTGTCATTGCACTGTGAAAATGCAAAACCTCCCTTTTTGTGTTAAGCGGATGAAAATACGGTTTTGAAACACGTGGTGACAAGGTGAATCAATTTTCATTAGAGGTGACAAGATGAAGCTTTAAAGCTTTCCAGCTAGAGGTGCTGAAAAGTGGTCCATTTCTCGAGGCTTTGAATGCACACTATATGGACACCTGCTGGTCCGTCGTAATAATGTGCAGAAAAAAAAAATAGTAGTGTGACAGTGCCAAAATGTGCACTACATGGTTAAAAGGGGCTTGATAAACTTAACATATACACTCGTAGCCTATCCACCTTATTTTTCCCGTAAGAGTGGTCGCGGCCATTTGTAAATTTAATGTGTCTGGCTTCCGGTGCAAAACAGCTCTTTTTGCTGCTTGATATTGCAAATTGGTGTGTCTTACCATATTATTTTAATGTAAAATCTTAATTATAATCACAATGGCTTGTAGTGCAAACAGTTTTACCGTTTACTGCACTTTGTTATTCTTCTTGTTATTTCCCTACGGCAGCTAATGAACCGGAAATCTTGCACATTCACAGAAAACGGCTTACTTCCGCGTTGAAGAATAAGGTGGATAGTAAACACATGTAAAATAAATAAATAAATAAATTCTTTAAAGTTTTTATGCTCAGTTGTTGTTTCATGATGTTTCATAATTTTGTAACTGCTTTTGTTCAAAAGTATTCCTTTTAGAATGGATAAAAGAGGGTTAATGTGATTAATGTGGAATAGACAGAATTTTAAAAACAATATTTTTTCACTGTCTTCAGGCTCGATTACACCAAAGGTGAACCCACTGCCTTCAAACGAAGCTTTGAACTTCACTGACGTCACTTCACTAAAACGATACAAGCCTCAATACAGAGCTCCATCTGAAAGTACTTGATATTCTCGACACAAGCCTCCAAGCCTCAGTATTAGTCATAACAGCACTAATTTTCATTGCTGAACTAATTCGTTGCTTTTACACTGCATCCGGAAATTATTCACAGCGCTTCACTTTTTCCACATTTAGTTATGTTACAGCCTTATTCCAAAATTTGTTACATTTATTATTTTCCTCAAATTTCTACAAACAATACCCCATAATGACAAAGTGAAAGAAGCTTGTTTGAAATCTTTGCAAATTTATTACAAATAAAAAACGCAAAAATCACATGTACATAAGTATTCACAGCCTTTGCCATGACACTCAAAATATAGCTCAGGTGCATCCTGTTTCCACTGATCATCCTTGAGATGTTTCTACAACTTGATTGGAGTCCACCTGTGGTAAATTCAGTTGATTGGACATGATTTGGAAAGGCACACACCTGTCTATAAGGTCCCACATTTAACAGTGCATGTCAGAGCACATCAGGACAATGACCCTAAGCACACAGCAAGAGTGGCTATTAGACAACTCTGTGAATGTCCTTGAGTGGTCCAGCCACAGCCTGGGATTGAACCCAATCAAATATTTCTAGAGAAACCTGAAAATGTGCTTTTGCCCCCATCCAACTTGACAGAGCTTGAGAGGTGAAGAGGCGAGGAGAAGAATGGCAGATAATTGCCAAATGATGATGATCAAAGCTTATTGCATCATACACTGTAAAAAATACGTGTAATTTTAACTGTAAAATTGTGTAAAAATGCTACGGAAAAAAACTGTTAATAGGTTAACAGTAAGTTCCCGTACTATATACAAGGAAAAACTAAATCTAACCAGACATTTCATGTAATTTTACAGTAAAAGAAGTAAAAATAACAAATCAATGTATAATTTACAGTCAAAAACTGTAAACTGATATTCCCAGAATTCCCTGCATGACACTCCACATTTGAAAGTATTTTGTTTAAATAATCATGTTTTTTTAAATAGTTTTTGTTATTAGTTATGAATATTTGGGCTTTATGTTACATCTTATGTTGTTTAATGAAAGTTTAATGCATTATTTAAGTATCATGTGTGTTACCATGATGGTGTTTTGTGTTTGCATGAATGACTCTGTGCACCTTCTATATATTAGTATATACTTCTGCTTGTGGCGAAGCTACTTGTGATGATCTTCGATTCTTCATGTGGCTTTCTCTTTTACCACCTGCATTATTATGGTGGTTGTCAGTATGTTAAAGGTACAAAAAAGAGTTTTATAGCAGTGTGCAGTTGAATTTACTGGTTTACATTCAAATTTTCTTGTTTGTAAATTACAGTTTATACTGTAAAATGTACAGTTTTTGGCCGTAAATGTGTTTACATTTTTTCTGTATTGTTTACAAAATTATTCTGGCAACCACAGCTGCCAAAATTATTTTGTAAAAACTACAGAATTTTTTTACAGTGTACCCAAAAAGATTTGAGTGCTGTAACTGGTGCCAAAGGTGCTTCAATGAAGTATTGAGCAAAGGCTCAATTTTTATTTTGAATAAATTTGCAAAGATTTCAAACAAACTTCTTTCCCGTTGTCGTTATGGGGTATTGTTTATAGAATTTTGAGGAACACAATGAATTTAATTCATTTTGGAATAAGGCTGTAACATAACAAAATTTGGAAAAAGTGAAGCGCTGTGAATGCTTTCTGGATGCACTGTAAATGTGCACAAAATGCAGTTCACAAGGGCGATGCCTTGACACCTGTGTTTATTTGGAATCACTGTAAATGACTGCTAACACATTTGGAATCAATATGAATCCCAGCAGTGAAAGACCTTTAATGTAGGCTACGACCTCAACCTCACAGTAAAAAGCACGTTTTCCCAAATCCCCTGGATTCATATAGCCTGCTTCTTAATTTTATTGGCCTTCAGACAGCAAGTTACTCACAGTTCCTTTAAGCAACGCTTTAAAACTGTGCTTTAGTTTCGCTTCACTGTTGTACACAGACACTCCTCCTAACTGAAGTACGAGACGCTTTTTAACACTTAAATTTCACCTGTAGCCTATATCATTATCAGCCGCATCCACATTGAGAAGAAACCTGGAATCAACTTATTTACCCTTTACTTGCTAAATGTAACAATTGGGAACACGGCATTGTCATCTAACCACAACACAAGCCCGGTGAGACCTTTTCGCAACCCGTCTTTCACACGTCGCAGTTCCGGGTCTTTTTGTAGGTTGGGATAGTGACTATGGAAGTATGAGCGACGCGCTGGAGTTGAAGCCCATTCAAGTTGTCTGTGACAACAATAACGTCTCGAGTGACCAAACGATTGAGGTAAGTTTTCAAAAATGTGTCTTTAATTCATTCTAATCTAGTCTTCAGGTCATTGACAAGTTTGGTTACTCATGATGTTTGTGCAAGTTTACGCAAACGTCCAGCCCTACAAGAGAACACTAGTTTTACCCTGAGGGACTTGCATTGTTGTTTCGGTTTGATCGTAACTAAAAACTTTTTTAGTTTTACTTTTTAATTCCGTACAAAAGGTACTGTGGTGGTACCGTAATGCTTAACTAAATACATGCCATGACCTGAATGATTACCATAATCATTAATTAAAAAAAATAGCCAACAAACCAGCCTGGAGTGCGTTTCCCAAAAGCAACTATGGTCGCAAGTTCTATCGTTCCCAATAAAGTTCAATGGAACTACGACAATAGTTAGCGAACGATGGACGCACACCTGACCAGGTTTTGAGACCAAGGACTATGAAACTATCTTAGGCTGGTTTGAGATGTGGTTTTATTTATTTAATAATTAACTTTTTTTTTTGTCGGCAGGATTAGGCTACATGGCTGAAAAAGTAGAAAAATGTTAGGTTGTAAAATGTCATGTGGTGTGATTCTCAAAAATGTAAAGATATTTTTGTTATTATTGATGTGTGTGTGTGTGTGTGTGTGTGCAGGGTCGGCGCCAGAGCGCACAAAGTGAGGGGGCAGGCACAATTTTTTGGGGGGCTGCTTTGAAAAAAACAAATCTTTCCAAAAAATAGCCAACAAACCAGCCTGGAGTGCGTTTCCCAAAAGCAACTATGGTCGCAAGTTCTATCGTTCCCAATAAAGTTCAATGGAACTACGACAATAGTTAGCGAACGATGGACGCACACCTGACCAGGTTTTGAGACCAAGGACTATGAAACTATCTTAGGCTGGTTTGAGATGTGGTTTTATTTATTTAATAATTAACTTTTTTTTTTGTCGGCAGGATTAGGCTACATGGCTGAAAAAGTAGAAAAATGTTAGGTTGTAAAATGTCATGTGGTGTGATTCTCAAAAATGTAAAGATATTTTTGTTATTATTGATGAATATATATATATATATATATATATATATGTATGTGTGTGTGTGTGTGTGTG